ACCTCTGAATACAGGAAGTGTGTAGTGAACCAACCAGAGCCAGCTGGAAGGTGGACCTGGTCCTGGGAAGTCTTCAGACTGGATTTTACTGATGAAGGTGATGAAGAGGAGGTCAGGACCTGAAGCTTCCTCTTCTCTCTCATTATGTGCTTCATCAACATGGAGGCCAGGCTGCCTCCTCTTCCTCCTGGTGATGAAGTCTTCCTCAGCAGCACAGAACGGGCCTCCTTCAGACTGACACACACAGATCATCACACTTTATTCACCACAGTAACGACACAGAACGGGCCTCCTTCAGACTGACACACACAGATCATCACACTTTATTCACCACAGTAACGACACAGAACGGGCCTCCTTCAGACTGACACACACAGATCATCACACTTTATTCACCACAGTAACAACACAAAACGGGCCTCCTTCAGACTGACACACACAGATCATCACACTTTATTCACCACAGTAACGACACAGAACGGACCTCCTTCAGACTGACACACACAGATCATCACACTTTATTCACCACAGTAACGACACAGAACGGACCTCCTTCAGACTGACACACACAGATCATCACACTTTATTCACCACAGTAACGACACAGAACGGACCTCCTTCAGACTGACACACNACATTAACACACACACATTAACACACACACATTAACACACACACATTAAAACACACACATTAACACACACATTAACACACACATTAACACACACACATTAACACAGGTGATATTTGCTAACAGAAGCAGAAATAAAACCATTGATGTCTGATTCAGAGTTGTTGTTAAAAATAAAAATAGTCAAATAAATGTCAGAGTTGTATAAAATAAATAAAGGATAAAGCTCTTAAATACCCCTCCCTGGACTGCCACCTTATGGTGGTGGAGAGGTTTGAGTGTCCCAGTGATCCTAGGATTTATGTTGTCGGGGGCTTCATGCCCCCAGTAGGGTCACCAAGACAAACCGGTCCTAGGTGAGGGATCAGACAAAGTGCAGCCCAAAGACCCCTATGACGAGTTACAACGATGGATCTAGTGTTCCCTCAACCAGACTGTTCCTCTGCTGAAGACCTTTAAAGTATGGAGTCCCTCAGGGWTCAGTTCTGGGGCCTCTTTTGTTTTCACTGTATATGTTGCCTCTTGGATACCTTTTTAGGAAATTTAATATTTCATTCCATTTTTTTGCAGATGATGTACAGATTTATATGCCTTTAATGGGGAAAACTAAGGATAACTGTTTACAGTCTTTATTAGACTGTTGAGGTGAAGTTAGATCATGGATGGACTCAAACTTTCTTCATTTGAATGATAACAAAACCCAAGTCATTTTATCTGGACAGAGAAATACTGGAAGTGACCCTGACGCAATCCTTGGATCTTTATCTCCAATTATCAGACAGCTGTTAGAGATCTGATAGTCTAATCTCAGATTCAGGAAGAGCAGTGTGGTTCTGGTCCTGGTCCTGGAAGACTGGACCAGTTCTACACCCTCAGCAGGGTCCTGGAG